ATCACCACCACCCCCCCCCCCCCCCGATCACCTTCCCCTTTGCCGGGGATCAAAATTTGTTGATTTTTTTCCCCAAAAGGAAACCGTACCCCGAAATGCTGGTGACAGCTCGCCGTGGCGTTGTACGTGAGTTTGCTGCAGCGATGCCTTCAAATAGCGTCAGGCTGCACGGACACTGGTGGTTGGAGAGCTGGTGGTGGGGTTGGGTGGTCCTGAGTTGAGCAGGACCGTACAAGTGTCTTTCTGTAGGGCCAGAGGGTCGCGGTGGGCACTGCGGGGAGGATCAGGAGGGGACCCTCTTGACTGACAAGTACCCTTGGCTTTAACGCCAATGTAATCCTACTCTAGCAATTAAGACTTGAGAAGGAATTGTAAATAATGTAGGCAAAGACCAGCACAAATTCCTTTATCCGAGAAGAAGAAGTGCTTTCAGACATCCTTTCAAACTGGGAGCTACGGAAAGTTTTTAATTCCTATGTGTCTTTATGTGCTAATTCCTTGAGAAATACCCAGGCCGACACATACGCTATGTTACCTATAGATTCACAATGTATGCACTAACGACCTTACAGCTGAAGGACCGGAATAAAACGAGGCTATGGTCTTGGATCAGTTGCTGTGCAAATACGACTAAAAGGAGAGATGCGGACACAAGCAAATTAGTAAAGCTTATTTTGCGTCACTGGAACTGCGCTGTCTTTTCAGCAAAGCCTCCAATAGAATTAGCTGCTGATGGTTACCATAGTTTTGTGCCTCAGGGATGTTTTCCTTCATGCTTTTGGACTAAAAGGGTATCTGGTCCTCAGGCCAGTCCACTTCTGCAGGATTTGGGGAAGAAAAAAGAAAAAAAGAGGAGATAGGAATGCTCCAAGTGTGTTTCTGGAGGCAAGAAGTTGTGTGCTAAGCAGGTTTTGGTGCACAATGCAAAACCGGAGAAGCTGGGTTTCATCAGCAGGTCGGGTTGATGTAAAGGCCGTGGAAATGACGGGCTTTGGTCCTGAGCTGCTGTTTCTTTTGCGAACCTAATAAGTCAGGTTGCCCCCCAAATGCGGCACCGCAGCAGTGGGTTGTAGCAGCAGTTTCATACCCCGCGTTGATCATCGTCTGATCAGTGCCTGGTTGCCTGACAGCCTGGAGCTGGGAAGTACCAGCGCAGTAGATGTTCTTTGGGAGGGAAAACCCATACAAGTCCTCGGTGTTTATTGAGGTGTGTTGAGAAGCTCAGCTTTGGGGCGTTTGAGACAGAGCTGGTGGTAGCAGAGACCCACTGCAGTTCCCATCGCCTCTCCAGTTTGAATTTTTACACCAGATGCTCTTTCCTAGCTGGGAGATCTGATTTTGAGCTATTGAGGATTTTTTTTTTTTTCCTTCTTGGCAGTGCGGTTTGACTACGTTCCCTTTCTTCCCTCTCCAATGAAGAAGGGAGGGTAAAAACCAGCCCATCCTACAGAATTTCTTTTGCTATTTGCAGAAACACGCCAAGGGGCAGGATCTACTTAAAAAAGTCTGCGACCACCTCAATCTCCTGGAAGAAGACTATTTTGGTTTGGCCATATGGGACACGCCAACCTCCAGGGTAAGTAGCCGCTGTTGCACGGTGCGTAATCTCTTCTTAAAACTTCTTTTGATGTCTCTGCCCAAAGGACTAAGAGAGTCATCACAGAGGCAGAAGCTGTGAATAAGTGACTCACAGGAGCGTGGATTTTAGTAAAAAAGCTACATGAACTTGGATCTTCACCTGGAGAAAATTTATTATATTAGTTTACTGCCAAACGATGCCATTAATTTGTAAAGCTCTAGCTCAAGAAGTTAGGGGAAGATGAGGCTTTTCTCACTCTGGACAAACAGCGGGTTTGTTTATTGTCATTTTAAGAAGAGGTTAACTACTCTTAGGCTGCAGGGGGACTTGCCAGTCTCGGAGCCCGTGTTGGCCGAGAGGCAGAGCTCTCTCTTGGGTTTCTTTTGCTGTCTCTGGTGTCTTGCTGTTTTCTTGTATGTGACATTTGCTTCCATGTACGTAGCCTGGATTTTTTTACTCTACGAGGTGGTTGTGCTTGCAGAGGGGAGGGATAGGTGTGCTTTTAGATCCCATTAAGAGCAAAAAGAATTTAGCTGGAGTAGCTCAACTTCTCACGCTTGTGCTGTGGGTAGCTCACCGCTGCTTCTCCTGGATCCCTGGCTCTTCTCACGTCCAGGCGTGCTGGCATTGATTCTTCCGAAAGCAAAAGCATGCACCTTCTTCCTGTGCTGCTTTCCAACCATTAGGGACTGAAAACAAACACAATTTTGTCAGATTTTTGTCCCAGAGCTGGGAGCTGAGGAAGGTAAAGCCGACGTGCATGGGTTTAGTTCCAGTGCTGAGTAAGCTGCTTGGTAGAAGTCTGGTTTGCTCTGATGGGGGAAAACACCATTTTTGGGGTGTTTTGGGGAATCTTTCTGGTTATGTTTCATTGAACTTTGAAATCTGAAGCTCCATCTGTCTCTGGCTGTAACTTCAATCAAGATCCGACACTGAGTTACTGATTCACAAGTAGAAATAATCTTAGTAGGAAACCAGCGGATGAGCATCTTCTGCACCTCACCCGCAGAGCTGTGCGGAGCAGGCGGAGGTGTGTGTATTCCTGGACAGGGGGTGGGATTTTCCACCTTGATATTTAGGGAATAAACCTTCTGGGGGACGGGTGTTTTTCCACGTGGGAACAGGAGATGGTGACAGTGGGAACAGGAGATGGTCACAGTGGATAGAGCAGCTGGTCAGCACCGAAGGAGCTTGATGCTCCTGCTGCTCTGAAAGGGAGGATTGTTTCCCGTTGATTCATGACACAATGGTGGATAAAAGTGCCGTTAATTGCTGTACCCGTCATCGTCTGCTGGATCAGGCAGGGTGAGAGCCGAGGATGCGTGACTGCATCCCGGGCTCGGCTGCAGTCGTGCGGCACCAACGTGGACGTAAAGACGCTCTGCTTAAATCAGCGACCCTAAGACAACAGCAAGTGGCATCCTTTCAACTGGATTTCATATCCCCAGTTTTATAGGTTAGAAGGGCAAGCATATAAAAAGATATGGTTAAATTAAGTATCGCTGTCACCCTGCCATGAAGTTACGTGTCCTTCTGGTCAAGACAGATTAGCTTGGGGGATTCAGTGGGTTAATTCTTTCACCTCGGGAGACCTGGATGTCCAAATCCTGCTCAGAGCTCATGAAAATGAAGAAGGTGGTTGAATGTATCCTCTCCAGGAGGGCTGTTTGTACCGTGCCGTCCCCTTCAGTGGGGCAGACCCTGACTTCTGCAAAGGGAAAGGCTCAGACTTGACATGCCGGGAGTTGCTCAGACTGTGCTGGCAAAAGCAGAAGTTGTTTTTTGAGGCTTATGTTGCACCAGCATCCCACAAACCCCCAAATTACAGAGGAGGGGGAAAAAAAAGGATATATTTCTAAATTTGTAGCTGACATAATTACTAGAAGCTTGAGTCATACTTAAGAGATGAAGTTTATGTCACGCTCCTGTAAAATATTCCATCCTTCCCCAGCAATTGGATGTTTTCACTCGTATTTCAGTGATTAGGTCGTTTAAAAGCCATAGCTAATAATGGAAAGTATTGGTGATCTCTGTTCTGAGTTGGGTAAGTATGGAGACAGGGTGCCTAGAATGAAAGCAAACATCTCTTTTGCCTATTTTTAAAGGTTCTGGAGGGGAAAAAAAAAAGGTGTTGTACAAGTGCACCTCTTAGCTGGATGTGGCTGCTATATGCTTGCAGCCCTAACAGGCTGCTTCTTTTTCCCCTCCTCTTCCTCGTGCCTTCCCTACGAGTACCTGGTAGGTGAAGGGTTGGAAATGCACCCACCGAGACTGCAGACTGGAGTAAAAGTTTTGGAAAAATGCACCGTCTCTCCAGTTTCCATGGCTGCATTCGTGTCAAATGTTGTCTTTTTGCCATATTTTTAGCGATTTGCAGTTTTCTCTGGTGTTTCTGGAACGTCTGTTAAACTGTGAATGTTTTTATCCTCTTACAGACGTGGCTGGATCCTGCCAAAGAAATTAAAAAACAGGTTCACGGTAAGTAGTTTGAATTTATCGTGTGGGGGTGTGTGGTTTCTCCCCCCTTCCCTAAATAAACATGGCTTTGGCAGGCGATCCGAGGGGCCCAAGGATGGGTGAGAGTTCAAGTGAGGGTGTCTGGCAGGGATCAGCACAAGTTCAAGCAGGCTGTGCATCCTTTCTCTTCTTCTTAAGTACTTAGCGATGCTCTGGATTCAGGAAAAAAAAGAAGTCATTTCCTTGGGAAAACATAGCTTGGGGTGTGTTCGCCCTATGCAAACCCACGCTATCCTTGCTACTGCGCGATGCCGAAATGGGAGATCTGCTCTCTGTTGGAGGATGGGATTTAAATCTCAAAGGAGATTGGGAGGGCCTGAGTAAAATTGTACGCCTGTTTCGGCGTCCGAATAGGGGTATTGGAATGATAAATGGCTCGAGTAGTGTCAGGGCAAATGCCAGATGGTTTCCAAAGTTGTATTTTAAGGTCTGCTAGCACTGAATTAGTTCAAGATGAGGGCAGTGTCAAAGTTAAATAAATTTTAGATGCTTTTGTTTTCTCTCAGGAGCACGTCTGACTGCTTTGAAAGTAAAATACTGTTTTATGAAAGTAAAATACTGTTTTACGTATGATTTTAGTGGGGGGCACAGGACAAAGTGTGTCATTAAGTACAGGTTAGGGGGGAAATGCGGCAGGGCTGTGGAGTGGGAAAAGCTCCTGCCTTTATCAACTTCTCTTTGAACCGATAGCAGGAGATGCGTAAAGCGCACGAGCAGCTCGTGCCGTGCCACGCGAATAAAATTCAGCTCCTGAGTGTAATGAGCAACCTGCTATGGAATCTCATCCCCTGAGATGGGTTAAATAGCAAATTATTTGAGTTTACTTGAATATATGTTGAATGTACGTAGGGATGTGCATGCACCAGTGTATGTTGGTTTAGGTAACCTCTGCTACGTAAAATATCTTCTTGGAATAACTCGGTTTGAACTGTGTATAATGGAAACAACATGCCTTGTGTTTAATCCCAGCTATGGCGTTGCATAAGAAGTAAATCCCTGAATGCTACATCCCCCCTCCTCCCTGTTTGCAATTGCGATAAATCTCTGAGCAAGTTAAGCGCAAGGGTATCTTCTCTTTCTGAAATAAATATTATTTTGAACTAGTGCTAAACTATTACAGAAATTACTTTGAGTGCTTAATGGGTCAGTCAGGACTGTTTTCTGCGGGTAAACGTGATTATTTTCAAGAAAAAGAGAGTAACCCCTTCAGCTGTGTCACCTCGACTATCTGTACCGCAAATAATGCCAATTCTAGGCGTGATTATGTGGATTCTCACTCCAGTGAGCGCCTGTAACAGTGCTGTACAAGGTTTGCAACAAGCTGTATTAAAGCGTTTAGGTCTGGACTTGCGAAGCTCTTCCTTGCTTGCTGATTTCTTCCAAAGATTGATGCTTGTATTGTGCTGAGTTTAAACTGTGGTCTGACCACCCGACCGCAGTGCATTAGGCTGCTGAGTGAATTAGCACATCTGCTCCTTACAAGAAATTTGAAAATTGGGTCGAGTGATGAAACAATACTAATTCATTTACTTATAGCACACCCCTGACCTCTCTTCTTTGAGATTCTTTTCGATCAATGAAAAAATATGTGAGTAATTTAGCCTCTTAGCAATGAATTAAACTTTTTTTTTTTCCACAAGTTGTGGTTTATTCACGTGTATTTGCCTGCCCTGCTTTGTTTTCTCCTGCTTCTATCTTAGCACCTGAAAATGAAATCATATCTTAAACCATCTGCTTAAGCAGCAGCTAGCAAGTATTAAAATCAGTTTTATCATCTGCTGGCTGTATTTTGAAGATCAGACTGGATATCCCCAGCTTTTTGTAACGACTGAGTATTGTGAAGCTGTTCTGGTGGGTTTATTTTTCTCAACCTCTCCTTTATTAATTGCAGGAGGCCCCTGGGATTTTACCTTCAATGTCAAGTTTTATCCACCGGATCCCGCGCAGCTGACAGAGGACATAACCAGGTGGATTACCTGGGAATCCGGGGAGCTCACTAGGCAAAGGAAGCTACTAGGACTGGAAGATTGAATAGAATTTTTTAATATTTGGGTGTTATTCCATCCTTCAGCAAGGAGATCAGCTGTCTTGGAGGGTTTTTTCTTTGTTTTTAGTGGATGTGTGGGTTGTTCTCTCTCTTCACTGAAGTCCACATGCGTCATTTATAATCCTGGCATGTGTGTGCTTGTATAGAAAAGTACATTTTTATTTAAAAACAAGATTTTCTGATCATAAGTGTCCTCTACTCCCTTTGCAGAGTGGAGATGACCATACATCCTCCTGTCCTCTGCACTGTTTACATGGGAATATTACCCCATAAGTAAAAATACAGGTAGAAATTAGAAACAAGCATCATGTTGCATTCATCAGTGGCATAAAAAAAGAGGTTCTGTTTGATCTTCATGTTTCTTACATTTCTCAATGCTCTCCATAAATAGTATTTTGCTTTCTGTCCCCCTTCTCCAGGTATTACTTGTGTCTTCAACTTAGACAAGACATCATGACAGGGCGGCTGCCCTGTTCCTTTGCGACTTTGGCTCTGCTGGGTTCGTACACGGTCCAGTCCGAGTTGGGAGACTACGATCCTGATCTGCACAGCCCGGATTATATCACTGAATTTAAATTGGCCCCGAACCAGACAAAAGAACTGGAAGAGAAGGTTGTGGAGCTTCATAAAACGTACAGGTGAGGTGCAGTGGCTGGAGAAGCCGGAAATAATGGGGCTTTCTGGTGTTTTCCCCACCTCTGTTGTATGCTTTTTTGTTTTCTGCTGCACCAATTTTCATGTTGGCAACAGAAGCTTTAACATTAAGGTGTGAATTTTCAGCTACTGAGGAAATCAACTATTTAAAAAAAGATCTAATATTTTAAAGTTGTAACAAAAATCTGTCTGGAAGCTGGAGTTCTTTTATCCTGCGTGAAGAAGCAGGTATGTTTTTAGAAAGCAGATGCAAACTCTGACACTTGTTTTTTAACAAATGCTCTTTTTCAACAGTACAGCCATGAAAGTGGGTTTTATTTCATGTGAAAATGCAGTACAAAGTTTGCTTCTTTAACGTTGCCCTTTGTGTCTTTTTTTTTTTTTTTTTTTTTTTAATATTTGCTTTGGGATTTATGTAAATTTTGAATTGCAGTCTGGTTGGAGCAGATCCCGTCTCTGCGTATATGCTGTAGCCTACAGCATGTTTGGGGTTTTCTGCTGCCACGTTTAATGAGTAACACTTTATAACGTGGAAGTATTCCAGTTAATGCAGGACGTATAAACTGGAGTTAGGCTGTCCTTGTGTTTCCAAGCACGGCCATGACCCGGGCAGATGTGTCTTGTTCAGGTAGGATTGAAGGACCGGATTAGAGGGTGACAGTATCCGAACATCTTCCTCATCTTTATTTTGAGCTTATTTTCATAAATGCTCTTGAGTGCTTGGATCGCAGAAGCTGTGCGAAGTTGTGTGCTCGCGTGGAGAGCGGCCAGCCAGCTGCTTCTGCATTCTCCCAGAGACACGTTTGGGTTTTAAGGGAGGGAAAAAAAGCCCCTAAAACCACTCCGTGATACCGAGGCCTTCAACCGGCAGCCTCTTGACCTGTGAAAAGCTGCTGGCTGATGCACTAGTAACGAGAACAGAGCGAAGACGAGACCTTCTCGCAGGCAGACGGGAGCTGATAACCTGAGTGCGGTACGGAAGGGTGGACGTGTGCCCCCGGCTGTGACCAAAGCTACAATTAACACCTCGCTCAACCCCGCAAATCAATACCTTAAATTGATTCCCCTCCATTTGCACTGAGAGTAGAGGAAATGAGGGAAAATAAGTACGGGGCCACTGACAAGCTTCATGACTTGAAGTCAAAGGCCGTTAGCTGTGCTAGAAGTGGTAGATCACATCGTTGAATTATTCATGGCTTCATTAGAGGGCTACTTCAAGATATAGGATGTAGTTATATTTAATCTAGTCATGCGTGCAGGAGGGAGGAAGCAATACGTACCCATTTAATTACTGGTCCATATTCTGTGAACCTCTGTCAGAGGATTTTCAGTGGGAAAATTTCTCTGCTAAGCCATGCTCCATCTCTTACCGCTTTATTTGCAAAGTGCAAGGCACGTGTCGGAGACGGCGACCGCTCCTGGGTCTTTCCTAGAGGACTATCGTTACAATTGCCTTTGTCTGCCCTGTCTCCCACCACTAAAACCTCAATTTACATTGCCCACAAGATGTACACGAGCTCTCGGTAAGAGAGACATCAAAGCAGGGAACAAAACGCAATGCATACAGCCGAATACTCTCCCAGCAGAGCTGTTACATGTACCTCGTACGCCAGAAACTTATTAACAAGGGCGTTTCAATAACGTCGCTAATAGCCTCCGTTATCAGGATGTTTCTGTTAAGCAAAGTTGCGTTGCGGTGCCCCTCCTGCGGACAGGGTACCATCTGTTCCCGGAACATGTCTCATTCATCTGGTCTGCCCCAGTAGGAATCGCTGCTGAGTGGTCTCAGCTGTCCTTGCATTCGCTTTGGAGAATAATAGCTGGGTTTGGGGGGGGGTCCAGAGGTGGGAGGTGTGGGAGGACAGTACGGGTCACCCTCTCTGCCTGCAGCTGAATTAGCGTTTCGTCCACTGAATCAAGTTATGCCCTGTATCGCACTTATTCGCTGTCTTGTCTGGGGTCCGTACAGCTCCATGGAAATAAGGTGCATGTGTTTTATGAGGAGGTCTCAAAGCACAAATTTCTGCGTTGAAAGCAATTTAATAATTCATCGTCCTGGCACAAATTTGGTTGTATTGAAAGCAAAAGAAAATCTAACGAGTAAATGGTTTTGCGAAGTCTGATCTGTTCCCTCCTAAAAGCAACAGTTCTGCGAATCCCAAGCCTTTTCTCTCTTTCCCCAGGTCCATGACTCCAGCTCAAGCAGACCTGGAATTTCTTGAGAATGCAAAAAAGCTGTCTATGTATGGAGTTGACCTTCACCAAGCTAAGGTGAGAATCGGCATGTGTGCACCAGCCTGCGGATTTTGTAATTTGATTATCCGTCCCTTGTAGGAGCAAGCTTACCTATTTCAGGAGGTTCCTTTTGAAAGGTATGGGAAGTACGGAAGCACAGACACACAACAGAAATGCCACAAGCATTCTTGCAAGAGAAGGGATTCTTCCTGATTGCTTATTAATTATATATTACAGGAATATTTACAAAGCTGCTGATGTAGACAGGTCCTTGCTCTGAGGAACTTAAAATAAGGCTCTGACCCTGCAAGGTCAGCCACTCCGCTCAGAGCAATGCAGGGTTGACTTTAGACGAGCCCTTTGAGCAAACAGCGTCGCAGGAGAGATCAGCAGAAGGGAGGAGGTTGTAAGGAGAAACGTGAAGGAAAAGCAAGCCTGGCCCTGGCTGCACAGGGAGCTGGAAGCAGAAGTCAGGGGCAGGGGGAGATGAACTTGGGGGAAGACCAAAGGGGTCGTTTGGAAGGCAGACATTGATCTGAAACTTGTAACCCTGACACTGCTGAAATCCTCATCTGCTTTCCCAGGACTTGGAGGGAGTGGATATCACTCTGGGAGTCTGTTCCAGTGGCCTTCTTGTTTACAAAGATAAACTGAGAATCAACCGCTTCCCTTGGCCCAAAGTCCTGAAGATTTCCTACAAACGCAGCAGCTTCTTTATTAAGATTCGGCCCGGGGAGGTATGTTCTGACTTCTTCGTGCTCGTGGCTTCTTTAATTGCCTTCTGGTTATCACCATCGTGCTTCACTAAAACAAAGTCAGGGGAGGGAGTAAGCTTTTCTCTGAATGAACGTTTTACACCCTATTGGGTTTCTGATCTTGGCTTGGTATTAAGTTCAGATAGAGCCCGCTCACCTTGCGGATAAACCAGCGGGTGCCAATTTAAACAACGTGTCATCCAGCACCACCTCCTGGCACTGCGTGGTATTCCCAACATCCAGAGGAAAGCGGTGGGAAGTTCTCTGGGAGAGAACTAACTCCTTTTTTTGGAAATGGGGGAAAACAAAGGCTCCTTGTCTCACTTAAAAAACTAAAATACAGAGGCATACCTTTTCACTTAGCCTGCTGCAGGCAGGGGGTGGCTGCCCTGACGCTGCCTCTTGTGAACGGGGAGGTCCCCGGAGCAGCCTGGCTGCTGGAAATAGAGTGGGGAGGGAGGCTGTACTGGGGGTCTGCCTCTTTCCTCCTCTCCTCCTTCCTCCTGCTGCGCTGCCATGACCCAGCCTTGCCGGGAAGTCGATTTTTGACCCAGCTGAGTAGCGTGACGGGGGGTGGTAAATGAGTCTGAATGGTTGCTAACCTCACGGTACGCTCCTCCACAAATCCCGGTGCATCCTGAGAGATGCGGGGCGGTGGGGTGGGGTGGTGGTGGACCAAGCCCTGTGTTTTCTCGGACCGTCCTGCCCATCATGGAGTGGGTTCAACTGCTTTTGGACTAGACCAGCAGTTTGTGCCGCAGCAGAACAGGTCGATGGGCTGGGGACTGGACTCCTGCCACATTTCTTTTCTTGCTATACCTAAATAACTTTTATTTTCCACAGCAAGAACAGTATGAAAGTACAATTGGATTCAAGCTGCCAAGTTATCGGGCAGCGAAGAAGCTGTGGAAAGTATGTGTTGAGCATCACACGTTTTTCAGGTGGGTTTTCTAAACAGTAGGCTTCCCTTGAATGACTAATTCTTCAGATTAGCTGCTGAAAATGAGCCACTCCTTCAGAGTTCCTTGGTGTTGCACAAAATTTGGAGTGAAATGGTTGCAGAGACATTCATTTATATTGCAATAAATTTCTAGGCAGCTTCCGCTTCATGAGATACATGAGAGAGAGGTCTTCTGGCTTATGTAAATGTGGGGCTTATAGTTCGCGTTTGTTGTTTTGTTAATGAAGCGTATGCAGAGGCTTCTTTAATTTGTATTTTAATTTCTCTTTACCTGCCACTGCCTAGATCTGGAGGTAGGATTTTTAAATCGTGCGTGTGGTTTTCAGGCTGACTTCCACCGAGGCCATCCCGAAGAGCAGGTTTCTGGCGCTGGGCTCCAAGTTCCGCTACAGTGGCCGGACGCAGGCGCAGACGAGGCAGGCAAGTGCCTTGATTGACCGACCCGCTCCACAGTTCGAGCGGACGGCAAGTAAGCGAGCCTCCAGGAGCCTTGATGGAGGTGAGTGTCTGGTGCCTCTTCCCTCTTCATGGTTGGATTCTGCAGGATGCTGAAATGCTCCTTAAATACCACCTAAATTCCCTGCTTTAAAAAAAAGAAATAGAAAGGCGTAACTTCTCACTTTAATACAAAACCTGGATATGAAATGCAAACAGAATAGTAGTACTAGCAAGAACTGACTGATAAAAGGGATGTAGGTGGGTGCTGAAGGCTTATGGCAAAGTTCTGGTTGCAAAGATATTTCCTCATTCAACCTCAACGCATTTTTCCATTTAGCAAAACAGGAATTAAGCTGTTCTAGGGTTTGTTTTGTTCAACGTAGCTTCTTAAATGATGTAGTTTTCCTTGAGGGGGAAATTTTTTTGCCACAACTGTTTGAAACTTTTTCAGTGTCTATTAAAGTGATGCTGATGTTGAAGTTGGTGGCACATCGATCAGGTGGGCTCGTTCCTGACAGTTTTGAAAGAGCCGGATAGCAGCAGGTGAAGCAGGGAAGGGGGAGTGCCAAAGTTTGCCCCCCTTGATCTGGGTCACGGGATGCTTGTAAAATTAGGATCCAGGGAAAGGGGAGAATCCCTTTGCACCAAGGGCGCCTGACGGAGCAGGAGCAGCGTTGCTTTGAGCCCTGAGGTCATGCTGCAACCCGGCATGGAGCAGGGCTGCCCCGTGGCCAGCAGCAGCCAGGCTGCCCCTGCTCCTGGCATGGATTTAGAGGGCTCAGCAACACCCCGAGCCTGGGCTTCACGCCTCGGAGCCGGGAAGGGAAGGGCTGCTTGGTCTGAGCTCCGTATCGCAGCAAAGCAAAACGCCAGCTTGCCTGTGGTCTGGGCGTGCGAGGTTACCCAGGCACAATGCACGGAGGCTCAGGGACCAGCACTGTCGGTTGCCCTTTGGCCGTGCCCTGTAGACCATGATGGCCCCAGATCAGTAGCAAAATCCCCGCTGCAATCCCGCACCCGAATGTCAGAGCTCAGAAAAGAGCAGCCTGTGAATGTAACGCTTCTGTCCCCGTTGAAGTCTGCAGCCTTTTTCCATCTGCTGTGTGGGCAGTCGTTAACATGTGCCCCATTTCTTCAGCTAAACGTGCGACTCAAAAAGTTGAGTTCAGAGCCGTAGAGGAAGAGAAGCAGGAGGAGGTGGTGGTGGTTGAGGTTCCTGAACCAAAACCCGCGGATCAGGTCCGAGAGAAGCCAGGTATAAGCTGTGGTGGTGGCTACAACTCTCTGCGGTGCCTTTCCTATCCTTTACATGCTTGTTCCCGACAACTCAAAAGTTTCACCAAATCTGGCGGCTTTCTTTTTTCGTTTCTTTGCAAGAAGAGTTTCACAGAGGAGAGACAGCCCGGCAGAGCCCCGGCTCTGGGAGACTCGTTAAATTTCCACCTTGCACCTCGTTAGACTGTAATTCTTGCGGGGAGGTGGGGAAAAGTTTAGGATGCACTGGCACTTGAGAACTGTCTCGTTGTTAAATTTGGGTGTTTCTGTAAATATGGGTTAGAAAACTTTGAAGTTTGATCTTGAAACTTCTTGTAAAGCTTCTGAAATTCTTCATCCTGGGACCTGCTTGCCATTTTTTAAGCCTATTCTGGGGTTTTTTTTGGGGGGGGTGGGTGTTGAGAAATGCCACCCATTTTGCTACATGGAGCTTATATTTCTCTTAAGATAGGTACTATTAATAAATATTAATGCCCTTAAGAGGTGTGTACGTACAACAGCATATTTGAATGCTAATAAGTCTGTCACAGCAGCGGTGTTGTCAAATATTTGCAGTCTTCATCACTTAAATATCAAATGCCTGTGGTGCGTTGGGGCTGGTGATAATTTGTATGCAACTGCATTCTGTGCTGCTTCCACCCCGACTTTTTTTACAGCACGCTTTTGACATCACCGTTTTTCTGGTATGAAATCTAGACCAGGCTTTCATAAAGTAATGTGGCAGACTGTCTCCCCACCACTCTCTTGCCTCGAATTCTTGCTAGTCAGCATCACCTGGCAGGGAAAGCCTGACGCTGGAAAAACAGAAGAGGGAGAATTAGCATTTAAGACACCAGGATAGATGGCTATGTGTTCTTAATTTTCAGATTTGAAGTGGATCACTCAAGTACATTTAATTAAAGCAGCTAGTTTTTATATAGGTTTTTATCTTGAGGAGCCTGGGTGTGTTTTTCCTGGATTTTACCAGCCAGCACCTGCATCTCCCCAGACTTTGCAGCCAGAACCCGTCCTGGTGCCGCACTGGAGAGCCGTTTGCGTGTCCCCATGTATCCCTGCCTGGGCAAGAAGCCTGCAACGCTTACTTGTTTTCCCCTCTCATCCAATACACTGTTGGTCCTGGCAGCGCTAGAAAGACTGATACGCAGTTGCTTGGTGAAAAATGACTATTAAGCTGCCTGATTTAAAAACCTCCTTGCTGTTCTCAGCCGCTGCCTTGGAGAGGGATCTCCCCTCATTCTTTCCTCCGCTGCACCGACCGTCGTGTGTCCCCCCATGGTCCTCCGACCGCTCTATTAACTTATGCAAACCTCTTTCTAGCCAAACACGCTTTTGAAACTTTTGAAATGAAACCCATTGCAGAGGAGGAAGAGGAGGAGGAGAAGGTAGAGGTGGTTAAGGTTCCCGTTGCTGAGCCAAAGTTACCGAAGCCGTTGCGGACGCGGTCAGGTACAGCCGCAGCGACGTTCGACATCGGTGTGGCTCCCGCGGCCGCCCGTGCTGTGACCTGCTGGGTTGAAGTGATGCAGTGCTGTAGGACGGAGTTTGCATCGTTTGCAGTGGTGTTCGCTGCCATTAAAATCACACCCGGCTTTGCAAGTGTGCTGTAATACACGAGCGCTGCTTTATCGAGGCATGCCTCTGGGTGAGATGAGGAGGTGCCGTGGCTTGGCTGTGTGCCTGTGTGTTAAAGTGAGTGTGCAATGGCCTTTTAACGCTCCTCTCTCGCTGTCCCTTCCCGTAAGGTTCGTTTCCCTGAGCTGTAGGAACGCGTGGTGCCTGAAAATCAGGTTGTGCGCTCTGGGACTGCTGGAGCTCACCTACACTCGGCTTTTTCTTCTTCGCTAGGGAGCCTGCTTCTTCCATAGTTGGGTTGTTGGGTTTTTTTCCCCAGAGTAACTTCACTGCTGCAGACAGATCCACCCTAATCATAATTAAAAGCAGAGTTGGTTAGTCATTGCAGGAAGAGGAGATTGATGCCGTGGAGGGAGGTAACTGGGAACTTCATCCGTTTTCTGGATTATTGTAAAAAATACTAAGCCAGCCCCTGCACGTAGACTGGAGGATATTGCGTGGGATGAGCTGCAGCAGAGCAGGCAGCGGCCAGCGTCAGACCTGAGCACATCCAGGGGTGTCCTGCTGCAGCTGCCCCTTCTTCTCATTCACCTCCTGCACTTTTTCCTCCTCTTGACACTTTTTATTCCCAGTAGGGACCGTTTTCTTGGCCAGGGTGATGATGATGGCTATTTTATATCGCATATTTTGGAGCAGTGCTTTTTACAGTGTTTAGTCAAAGTAGCTAATGGTAGTAAATCGAGAAAATACGACTAAAATGATGCAGCACAGGAGTCGTCACTGAACAGCAAAGGCAAAGCTTGATATCTGTTGTTATTTTCCCCGTGTGTCTCGATGCTCTGAAGTGCTGAGAGGCAGGAGTCCCTACAGAGAGGAGGCCCTGCGGATTTACTGATGGCAATATTTCCTTTGTCATCTTTGAGGTGACATTTTAACACGTCCATAACTTTTTTTAGCCAAACATGCTCTTGGCAGTGTTGAGGTAAGCCCAATTGAAGAAGAGGAGGAGGAGGAGGAAGAAAAAATGGTGGTGATGAGAGAAGTAGAGCCGGTCCCGAAGGAGCCAGGTACCACCGTGACGGCTTTGCACACCCGGCATCCTCCTAATCCCGACTGTCCCTGCCGTCTCACCGACCCTCTGTACAACCTCCCCGATGGCTGTCACCGCTTCCATGGCATAAATGACACCGAGACGCGGCACCGGTTGTCCTTCCGAAAGGATAACACAGAAATGAACTGCCGTGCTGAAGAAACGGGGAGATAATGGAGATGGCGGTGCTGGTTTTGGGGTTTTAGGCTGGGTTTTCAGAGGACGTGGTGTCTAGGAGTTTGTCTTAAAAGTGGAATTTCAGTCTCTGAAAAATCAGGTTCTTTTTTTTTACCCCTCCATCTTGTGTGTTCTTGTCCACATGGATACTTTATTCTGTACGTGTTTTATACACACAGATGAGTTATCTTTTCAGTGGAACCAGAATTCTTACTTAGGAGTTACTTAAACTTACAATTTCTTCTTTAATGTCAAATTTTCTGGTGTTTTTGACAAGCTGGATGGACACTAGTAACCTCGTGTTGGCTGGGTAGGTTACACAGTGTGAATCTCGCTGCATAAACTGTGACTTTAGGAATATGAGACCACGTCAAAGAAATTATTTCAGGTGACTAGTTACCTTTGTAGTGGAACGGCCATAAAAAACCAACCTCAGGAGAATTAAATAGCTTATTGCGTCTATAGGTACGCAGAGCGAATTAATTGGGGTTTGCTTTGTCGCACAGTATTGGCTTGAATATTTGGGAGGTGTCAGGCTTTTCAGGGGTTGGGAACTGTCTGGGAAATCAGGAATTGAAGGAAAGGGTAGGCAGTTGATTTTGTGTGTACCTAGTGCTTGTATTTAAGATGGTCATCCTCTGGAAAGGTGATTTTTTTTGGCAGCACGCTGTTCATTTCTGCACTGTCACTGATCTGGAGGTGCTGGGTATCTTCTCGCAGCGGTGCCTTGGGCTGCGGCAGGAGATACCCACCTCGGACACGCAGCCCCAGCCTGCTTTGAAACCCACCTGGAAGTTGCTGCAAAGTTTTATAGAGCAAGGCTTGTTGATGATTTTTTTTTTTTTTTTGGTCTGAATTGCTGAAAGAACCGGGGAGGTGGGGGAAAGCCTGTGTTGCCCTTCCAGAAATCATCCATTTCTGGTTGAGGAGATGCCAACGAGTCAAGAACTCACCACAGCTATAAGTGTGTCTATTTTAACGGCTGCATTGGGATGGACTTCTGTGTCTGTTGTGTGCGAAGGACCCAGAAATCGATGGCAGTGTGTCAAAAATAGATTCGCCTTTCTGGTGTGGCTTCTCTGCAGAGTGCAAGCTTGCTTTTTGTGAACCATCTGTTGTGGGGTTTTATTTTATTTTATTTAAACCATAAGGAAAATAATCACAACTTTCCCGTACTAAATGCACAAGCTGCTTTGCTCAATATCTTTCTTTATTTTCCCTTTTTTTTTTTTCCCCCCCTCCTTCTCCTTCCTTTCTTTTTAAATGACAGCACTGTAATTTGGAAAGACTTTGCCTGGTGCTTTAGAAACGTTACCTGTTCTGAACCATGTCCCCGTCTGTGTCTCCCCCATCCTCAGCAGTGGCCGTGATAACCCCTGAGAGGAGTCCCCGTCCCACCTCTGCCCCGGCCATCGCTCAGAGCCACGCTGCAGAACCACTCCCAGCTAAGCCCGACGTGAAGGACACATTCGCTGCCTCTAAAGTAGAAAAGGAAGCGGCGAAACCCGATGTGAGACGTGAAGAAATCCCACTGGAGAAAGCCAAGCCAGAGCCAGCCGATACATCAAAGGTATGTCAGACCAGGCTCTCCCTGGAAGAGGCTGGGGCACAGGGACCGGGCCGGAGCAGCAGCTCTGTGCATCTTCCCCTCCCGGGCAGCGAGGGGTTTATTCCTCACCCAGGTGGGAATGAGTTACGGGCATCTGGGTCCCAGGGAAATCCCAGCCCTGACCCTCTGGGTACAAGGAAGGAGGCCCAGGGCAGGTTTTGGTGGTTGCAGTCAAACTAAATGTAACGTACTGATAGATGGTTAGAAAAGCTGGCCAGAATTGCACAGAAGTTCACGGTAGTTGAATTTAGAGCTCACCCATTGCTGAGCTGTCTCTGCTGATTCCTGGTACAACAGCGGGAGCGATTCCAGTGAAATCAGTGATACGGATCTGGTCCGCAGTCCAGCATCTCAATGCAAATGTTTTTTACATTGATAGGCTTTCTCTGGGAGAGCTGTTAATACGTTTCTGCAAACCGGACTAAAACTTTAGTTGTGAACGGCACTGTTGAGACCTCGGGGGCTTTATTGTTTAAATGAAAATTTTTTTAAACATTATTTGAACTTTTTACAAATGTCTGAGACCTCTGCTGACCTTGGTCTGTGTGTGTTGTTCTTGTAAGTGAAAAGAATGTGAAAATTTTTTGTGCGTATTACAGTGTCCTTAATATTCTGCAAATCTTATTGACTGAAACCTTCCAGTGTTGCAGCAGTGTACGCCTCAAGATACAATTTTCACATTACTCTGAATATTTAGCTGTTCCCAGCATTACCAGACCCACATTTTTGCTGTAACATATCACGCGCTGGGTCTCGTATGACATGCTCCAGGGGAGATCACTATGACTTAAGGTTGGGACATGGAAGGTGAAGGAAGGACGGTTGCTTTAAAAAAATTTCGTGACCTTTGTGACCAGTAGTTTTTAAATGAAAATGCTGAGGGCATCTTCAGGAAGGCACATTGGAGTGTGCATTGTGGTGCACAGTTCCTGCACGGCTGCTCACCCTCCCTAGCATTAAACTGAGAGCAAGTACATGTTACTCATCCCATCTCACTTATTACAGGGCTTTTTCCTAAACGCTTAAACACTGGATTATTTTTTTTTTCTTTAAATGTAGCTGTGGGAGGAAATTGTGGATGTGAATGTGCCAAATTTACCCTGTTTCTCAAATGTAGCTGCATCACTTCTTTTAATGCCCAGCGATGCTTTCGCCTTCAGAGTATTTGGCAATCCAGTTTCCCTAAAATACTTCCCTTAGAGTGTTAAGACAGTCTTGGCTCTCTGCTCAGGGACAGTAAGGAACTCAATTTGTGATGTTAGGCTTGACTTTGTAGATAGGTCACTTCTTACTGACTCTGCGAGCATAATACCTGCGCGTAACAAATAATTTTCTGGTTTTGAGGTGGTCCGTGTTAATTTGAGCATGTTGCTTTGGGTAAGGATTTCACTGGGAGATCCAGCTGCAAATGGAATTTGAAAACGTTGCCTGGCAAAGCAGCACTAGAGAGCACTGGTTTCAAATGCAAATAATTCTGAAGCTGAAGGAATTATTGTAAATGTGCTGTTAACTAACAGACTGTCGGAGAGTTGCGGTGTCATTAACTCTTTCCGGAGGACTGCATGTTGGTTTTTGCATGTTCACCCAGCATTTCAAAACCAACTTTATGCAGCTGTGTTTTGAAACTAAATGATCTCTTAAAACAAGTCTACTAACAAGAAATGTTTTTACCAATTTATTTCTTAAATGTAGGTGAGGAAAACGCACATTGAGGTCACGGTACCCACCACGAATGGTGACCAGCCCCAGGTTTGTGCTAATAATTCAGTTAGGTTGCTCACTTTTTCTTTTTTTTTTTTAAGGTTATACAGTGAGGTTCAACGTAGTTAAATGAACCAACAACTTTTTTTTTTTTTTTTTTATCACTGCCCAACAGCAGCAGCCTGCAGAAAAAGAGGAAGAGCTGATAAGAATGAGGAAGGTTAGACATTTTACACTTTCACCAAACAAATTTGCCATATCATTCATGCATCTGTAACCTGTTTAAAAAGACAGTGCTCCATTTTCTTCATGTGCTTTGGGTTGGGGTTTTTTGTTGGTTTTTTTTTCTTTAAACTGCAACTATCAAATACTTGATTTTAAAATTAATAGTTTTTTGTCCCATAGACAGTCTGATTGCTAAAATTATGCATGTTGAATGTTCAAGAGAAGCACACTTGGTTTGATTTATAAAATTTATCTCCCTTTTAACAAATTGAGTTAGAAACCCAAGAAAACTGTATAGCGTGCATTCCAGGAAATGCAAAAAGAAAAAAGAAAAGAAAGAAAAAAAGTATAATGCTTTTTTTTGTATCAATTGAGTATTAGGGGACATATCCGAGATGGGAGAGGTGGTTAAGACATAGTTACTGTGCACATTGAGACCTTGTAAAAGTTCCACCAGGCAGTGCAGCCTCGGGCACGCATCACTATCAGGAGTATGAACTTCGTGCAAGGCTTCCACGCAAAACCGGTAAAGGAGCGATACAAAGCAAGGCAAAAGCCGACGACCCCTTGGGAGCTGTCTCTTTAAAGGACTCATTGCATTTCCCCATTCTCCATGAGCAAGAACC